TGATTGACAGGCCAGGGGAAAGACGGATCCTTCCCATGGGAATGTTCATTGCTGCCTTCTGTCTGCCTTGTCTGCCATAAGACCTTGTGGTCTGTGCAGAATGCCACTTCCAAGGCTAATCATTTTCACCATACAGCAGAGCTTCTTCACAGAGGCAACCACAGGGTGATTTTTCAGCAATTTTCCAAGGCGTTCATACTCTTTTCAGTGCTATTCAGACTTACTATAGTCCAACTGAGACAAACCCAGGGATGAGGTCTTTTTAATACATCATGGATATTAGGTTCCCATGTTTTAAAAATCACTAATTCAGCAGTTTTGGGGAGTTTTGATCAAAATTGGGCTCATTTGCATTGGGCTCAATACTTCCCAGTATTCTCAGGCCAACCAAGAGGCTGACTATAGCCAAAATAGACTCTACCAGTCTCTTAAAGGTGTAGTGTCTTTATTTCAATGCAGTATAGGTCATACATGTCCTCTCTAGACACATTCACACCAACAAGTTGAGAGTCTTCTCTCTCAGTCCCTACACACACTCAGCACATATGCTCTTGCCATGCATACCCTCATGCTACATTCACACATTTCAAAACCCCACCTGTCTGTCACTCTCTGATGTGTCTAGGACAGGGATAGGCAACCTTTCCTCTTTAAGGGCCGAGGGATTTCAGCTCCCAGAAGCCTCAGCCATGTTGGCCAATAGTCCCATGTTAGCCAATAGCTCCTGGGATTCTGGGAGCTGAAGTCCCTCAGCCCTTAAAGGGGAAAGGCTGCCTATGCCTTGTCTAGGATTTGACTTAATGTTGGGTGCTTTTAAAATGCCAGATGGCAGCCCCAACTCTGTCATAATATACTGTTGAACCATTCCTGCATCACGCTTAAGCCGGTTTAGTCCCTTGAGAAGTGGGGGAAGAATCCTTCTTCTCCACTTTCCAGGCCCCCACAGCATATAAATATAGTTTTAGATTCTATCCTTTCCTCCTTTAATATCTCACTTACTCCATTCTTGTTCTTGTGGATCCTGATGTCTCCAAAGTGCCTGGGGGATGAGATGTCCCCCCAGATTTCCAGCCGCTCCTGCAATGGTATCCTGATACACCATTCCTGCTCCACTATAATGCTGCTCAGCTATGCTAAAATCCCGACATTCCCGTGGTCCTCCTTGGTCCTCCAAGGTCCAGAGTTGTTGTGCCAGGACCTTGGATGTGTTCCATAGATGATTGCAACCCAGTGATGGCATACCAAGTCAACATTTACAAAATTTGCTTCATCCATTCCGGCATCCAGTCTGAACTTTTTACAAAACTTCCACTATCGTGTCTAAAGTTACAAGACAGTTTGTTATGGACTTTATAGACCAATACACAAGCTTTTCATGGTTCATGGATATTGTTTCATCTTGGACTTGACATTGTTGATCAATTAATCAAACTTTTACACCAGCCTATTGTGGCCAGAAAACACAGTACTCCTTGGACTCCATCTTGTTCACAAGGACATTTAAGAGACTTATTTTTGACTACCTCACATTTATTTTCATTGCCTTAATATTTGATAGATGCCTTAGTGTTATAATATTTATTGCTATTCATTGACTTTTGCATATAGTCATTGTCTTGTTTACATGATTGCCATTTATTGATTATTGTTACATTTATGGTGTGAATGCAAGTGAGTGAGTTGCCAAAACACCTCAACCCCATCTACACTATGGGTTTCATTGACTGTGATGCTACCTAGAGCATTGGTTTTAAGCTCCACAATTCACTCCCCAAAATTTCTTTGCAAAGATAGAATTTGGAAACCATTTCAGTCACATGATATCACTCAACTTCAATGGTTCCTGAGGGGGGGAATGTTATCAATACTGGACATCTTCCAAAATTTTGGTGTGTGTGTGCTTTCCTTGTCATGGCCCTAAGTGGACCTGAAAACCCTGAGCCACTATGAGCCCAAGAGCGAGAGACTATGTACCCAGATAAAGATCAAAAGGGAGGTTTGGGAGCTGCATTTAGGAAGGGAATTCTTAACTCCATAGAAAGGAAAACGAAGGTAATTTACAACTGGAATGTTTCTGCAACCAAACCGGAATCCCATTTACAACCCATTCCCACCTTGATATCACTGTCTCAAGTGATCTCTCTCCTCTTTGATATATCTTTGAATAAGGCTAGGTTTTTCCTGTATAGCCCTACATGGCTTGGGTCCATCTTATCTCAGGGACTGCCTTTTCCC